GATTCGAATCGTGAATCAAGACCTGCTATGATTCAAGATTCGAGGCAAAAACTGCTGACTCGCAGGGCCCTAATATATATATATATATATATATATATATATATATATATATATATATATATATATATATATATAGAGAGAGAGAGAGAGAGAGAGAGAGAGAGAGCTATTTTTAGTAATTTTGAAAGTATAGCAATATGCACAGTGGGTAGATAGTGGACAAAACTATTTTTCAAAATGTGAAAAATATATGAATTTTTTTTTCATATATTGTTGCAAAATCTCTAACTAAATTAAAATTATATTACGCTGATTTTTTATTTTCTTTCACATCAGTTTAGGTTTAGAAGCACATTAATTGCATTGCTGTTGTTTTTATGTTGAAATTTTCATGTGTTTTTCAAATCTGATCCATTTTACTTTTACAACATTTAATTTAAATAATTTTTGTAAATCTTCATTAGTACATCAATAATTTAAAGTTTGATGCAAATATTAATTAAATGATATATTCATTAAAGTTGGCATACGGTAATTTATATTGTATACTCATTTTACTCAACTATTCATGAAAAATTAATTGAAAATGTTCTAGAACTTTTAAATGACGACTGACATTTAATCATCTAACCATGTTTTTGCAACTGTTTGAAACTGCAACTACAATATTTATTTAATGATGTATACTTAGCAAAATTTGTAACCGTGGCACAGGTTATGTCAGGGAAGGGGGGAGGGTTATTTTTTTTCAATACTTAATATTTTATTTACAAAAATTTATATTATAATTTATAATAAAGTTCGAAAATAAGGAAAAAATTACCTCTTTTTTAAAAAGCGAAAAGCTTTTTTGGATACCTCTTTTTAAAAGCGAAAAGCTTTTTTGTTATCATATTCAACTTTATACAAAATTCATAAAATATTCTGTATTTGCGCGAATGTTAAATATAACTGTGAATTTAATATATTACAACAAACATTATCTATAAATTAAAGTATTGTAAATCAGTGGCTTAGAAAAATCAAAAAAGTTAGGTGGGCTGAAAAAAAATAAGGAGGGCTAAACCAGCCCGAATTAGAATTAAAATGAAAAATGGGAGTTTTTGGTTGGTTGGGGGAGGGAGGACCAATCGTCCCCTCCCCCCTGTTTCTATGCCAGTGTGGTAAACATATTATATTTATAGCAAAGATAAAACATTGTAATTGTAAATTATTTATAAAACAATGCACTGTAGCAATACCATCAATAATTCAAATTAAAATAACAAAATTGTTCTAATAAAGAATGCAACTTAGATATCATGTTTAAAGCTTGACAATTTTAATAGTTGAATTGCTTCATGTGGAAGTTGGATTTTATTAGAATTTGATACTGGTTTTCTTAAACTGCTAATACATGGATCAGATGAACATAGTAGTCGTCTTAGTAAGTCTTCATTATTCTTCACTCTGGACATTTTACGACTAAAATGTTCAGGATTTTTTTTGGTAAACAAATTATGTTAGATACTTTTTCAGACTCCCTAAAGAAACAACGTTCAGTATTGCCATCATTACTAGTGCCAGAGCCATTATCTTTAGGCATGTCAACAACCAAACCAAGTTCTTCAATTAATTTGCGTTGAAATTTATTCTTCTTTTTTTTTTACAGACTGTTTTTTAACAGCTCCATATACTCGCCATTTCTTTATTTCAAATTTGTAGGCAACATGTAAAAAGCATTCCATGCACTTTATCCAGGCATGTAATGCTGACAAGCTATACTTAAGTTCAGTTTGTAAATGGTAACTTTTTTTTTGGCATGCATCAATGTTATTCAATGTTATTCATCTTGGATGGAGTTATTCCACACACTGGGCAACATTGAGCTGAATTTGTTTTTTCAGACAGTGCATTAGCAACCTTTCCACCTATCATAGTTAGTTCTAACATATGTTGCACCGTTGAACCATTTGATAAGACTGTTAACTCAAGTTTTTGACTTTCAATGAACTGTTCCTCTGCTTGGATGACTTCATTTGTTTCTTTTACATATCTAAATCTTATTGGTCTACAAAACATTGTTGAAGAAGGACGAGGATTAATCCAAATTACTTTCTTTCTGTACCAATAAATCCACTTAACTCTAATGGAACAAAGCAGGTGATAAACTGGCTTCCTTCAATACTAAGATTGCATACATCTTGGTCTGGCGCAAATTGTTTGTATATTGCCTGACCTGTTGCACCATTTTATGATTTGGGTTATAATATATAAAAATTTGTGTGATATAAGATAAGATTTAATTCATAATTTATGTTTAAATTTATTTTTTCAGATCAGCAAGAGAATGCAAAAAAAAAACCCAATAAAAGCGTCAATATCTGTTAGTTAATTGATCTATTATTTAACCCTTAGTAATTAGTTTTATATATATATTCTAAAGATATTTGAGTCTTCATTATTTTAATATAATTATTTTATTAATTGCTTTTATTTAAGTTATAGAATTTTTTTGCTCCCAGAACCCAGACCTCTAGTACAGAATTTCTTTAACATATTGTGCTTGATTGGGGGTGTCAACAAGACCTCTTTTAATTAAAGGATCATCCATACAATAATTTTCTTTGGTACTGGGGTGTGCTAAAAGGAAAAAAATAAGTTGTAAATATCTTCAACAACTGAAGAAATTTATAACTTTGATTTTTGTTTTTTACTTTGATGTTTTTTTTTGTTTTTATTTTGTAAGTTTTATTTATTTTAAGTTTTATTTTATGATAAATTTTTGTTTTTTTAAAAAACTACTGTTGCATATTAATTTCTTTTTAAGTTTAAATTTTGATAATTGCTAATAGCAATTTGCTGTCATATTTCTATTTAAGTACAACATTTAAATTTGTTTAAATATTAATACCTTTGGTATTTTAAGTAATATTTAAAATACCTTTGGTGTTTTATATACTAACACCTTTGATGTTTTATTTTGTTAATGTTATTGCTGTCATTGCCTTGTTAATAATTTTTTAAATTTCTTAACTTAATTTTGAATTTAGATAAATAAAAACAAAGTTTTAAGATTTTATTTTGTATTTTTTTTAGGTTTTTCTGTTTTTAAGTTTTTATTAAGTTCTTTTCCATTTTGCTTTTTATGACACCCCACAAAAATAAATCTTGCTTATTTAAAAAAAAGTAATTTGAATGTAGTAGATACAGGTATGGGTTGGAGCTATTATCATTAATAAAATATTTTTAGTTTTTTACTATACTACAAGGAATTTCTCAATACCCCAATTAATGATGACCCCAGTTGCTTACTGCTAGTCTGCATTGAAATCTTACCTTTAAAGTGGCATATGTTTATGATATTTGGCAGTGGCATTGTAGTAAAAGTTTCATAACCAAAAAATAACAAAGATATAACCAAAAGATTCAAAGATAGAACCACACCCCTGGAGCGCCACTAATGTTTCAAAGTAAAAGCAGTTTAAGTAAAAAAATAATAATTGTAAAATATGTATATTGACACGAAGCTTTGAGAAGATGAATGATTTAAACAAACAAACAGACAAACAAAAAAAACTCAGAAACGCTTTGAACTCTAAACCCTCCAAAATATAAACCTTTGATTAATTTTTATTTAAAAAGAAAAAACTAGTAAAGCTGTTATAAATTTGTTTTAAAATTTTTTCTTTATTTTCTTTAAATGGATATTAAGCAAATAAAACTTTTGAGAAATTAAAAAAATCGGTAAAAAATAAAGAAATAATTAAATACTTATAATCTAAAGAATGAAATAAAAAAAAAATAATAATAAAAAAAATTAAATAAATATAATGGTATAACAATAATACAAACATTATTCTTCAGTGGACAGGGCTAATGACAGGTTTTGAAGTAGGGGGGTACAACCCCTTATTTCTATAAAAAAAGTCCTCTCTATCTTGAAATTTCAAAAAAATAAAAAATTAATAAAAATAAAATAAAAGAAAAAAAGTGTGCCCTGACCCCTGACTCCCTGGTGGCGTCAACCCTTGTGTATATGTCATTTATGCAGTGTATTTTATAACATAGTGTCACTTTCAACTAATTAAAAATATATATATATAAAAAATACATTTATATTATATTTTTTAATTTAAAATAAATTGGTTTCACAGAGTTTACTAACATAGATCATAAAAAAATTAAAACAATAAAACATTTTATTAATAATATAGATGGTAGATAGAAACATCAAATTGTTTATTTTGTTGTTTTTTTAGATGCAAAAGCAACAGCAATCATTGATAAAACTGTGTATAAAACATTACTTCAGCTAATAAATGACTAGTCGTTGACTTTCGGTAGATTATAAAATATATAAACAATTGTGTTTAACAAAATATTGTTGAAATGCCTTAATGTGTTAAATTTACTGAAACAAAAAAATAATTTCTACATTTAATAAATATTTCCTTGTAAATACTATAATTGAAGAATATTGCTTACAACAACAACAAAATGGAAATTATTAAAATTTTACAATATCAAAAAAACCAGTTTGACAATATTTTTTTGGAAAAGCTTTTTGATAACTCCTTCTACCCTCTTTACAAATTCCTTTTTTGATAAAAATTTTTAAACCAAAATAAATTAAAATGAATCTAAAAGATTTTCAACTAACACATTTTTTAATGTAACTTTTAAAATAAACCCTTTTAAAAATGTTTCTTTATTCTCAAGCAAAAAATGTGTGTATTTTAAATGGATGGAGTTGGTAAAAAATTTATTAATTTTATTACGGACTTTTTTTCAAAATTAATTTTAAAGAAAACCTAATATCTGTATCTTAAATATTTATAACTTAAAATGCAATATAGATTGATAATTAGTTGTGTTAAACTAATAAAGACGTGAACATATATCTTAAAATGTGAAAATGTATCTTAAAACAGATTGATAAAAAATTTAATATAGTTCGATAAAATATAAAATGCAGTCTTAAAATATAAAACACATCTTAAAATGCAACTAAAATATACCTATATCTTCAGAAGCAATGCGAATCAATCTTCTTGCTATGTATAACGGTTTCTCTCCTCCTTCGAGCATGCGAGCTAACCAATATATTGAAGCATCAACATCAGATCCCCGAATACTCTTATGTAAAGCAGATATCAAATTATAATGTTCATCTCCTGCTTTGTCATAGTTTACACAACAACGTTGTAATTCTAAAAAGAATTTGAGTTGCAATCCAATAAAATCTCTTCCAATAACTGTGTTTTAAAATTTGTTAAAAATAAAATATCTATAGAAATTTATTAAATGAATTTCAAAAATACAGTACAGTCAACCCTCAATATCTCAAACACTAAAGGGACCGGAAAAAAAGTTCAAGATTTCGAGAGTTGGAGATATCAAGAAATGGGTTAAAAATAAGTAAAATTACTAGACTTTCATTAAAAAACAAGTTATTATTTTATATATAAGAATTAGTTATTATAATTATTTTCTAACAAAAATCATTAACAATAAAAAATACAACTTTTGGAAAAAATTTTTTGGAAAATTTTTTTTTTCCATCTTCATTAAATCTTCAGGTTTATCTGCTAGGTATTGTGGGAAGGGATTGTATTTCTTTTCTGTATTTTGAACTGTATAGCAAAACATTTAGAAGCATTTCAATAGCATTTAATTGAATATCAGATATACGTAGCAGGGCTTTGATGTTAATACCTTTGTCAACGATATCGTTGTAACGACTTCGTCTATCTTCAACTTCGTTTAAAATCTGAGCAATCGTTTCAACATCAGTAGCATGTGAACTGATTACAATCTAAACCAATGTAAGACTCTGCTGAGAAATCTTCTTGGATGACACTAGGATCTAACTCAGAGTTTTAAGTGTTTAAAAACAATTGCGATCACAAATTGTTATTGCTTTTCATACCTTAGCGAGTTTTTTCTTAAAATAAATACTTTTGCAATTTGTTTTTTTGTTTGTTTATTTTTTATCAATCTTAAAAGAAATGTTTTTGCTTTTGGGGTCATAAAGTACATCACTCTAAATTTTTCTTTTGAATAGAAGTATGATCATTTGCTGTCTTGCACAGAGATTTTCATTCAACATAAAGCATTTTTGAATTTAAATTACTTTAAATCTCTGCGTAGAATCCAATAACATTTTTAAGTTATATCTAGTTAGATATACTTAGTGAATGAAAGTACATCACATTAAATTTACCTGTAAACTAAATCAAAATAACCAGGTAAGTTACTCAACTAATTAATTTACTTAATATTAAAGACTCGCCAAAGTTAGCCATACAAATGTTTCTATTTATATCTTATGTTGTTAACAATTAATAAGCTTTTACTTAAAAAAAAAATTATTTTAACTAGTAAACTCAAATATAATATGAAAAACGCGATACCTTTTTTTTCTTTAAAATATTTTCATTTTAATTAAGGCAATACCAAGATTATTTTAACTAGTAATATAATAAATGTTTGTAATTTACAAAATGTGTATACAAAAATTAATATGTTCAAAGTTTATATATACATTTATATTCTAATTTTTCCTATATTTTAAAAGTGGTATTACTCAGCAGTGTGTAGAGCAAGATCGCTATACTTGTCAGTCAAGCAATATTACTAAGTTGTTGTATTACTTGGCACCATTTAATATCAGGCAATCCTAATTTCTGTTAATAAATTTTTTAGTTAAGACACTTTGGAGCTAAGACTATGTATGAACCTTTGTATTATTAGTATCAAAACATAAATACTAGAATTTTTTTTATAGGTAGAATTAATAGAAGTTACATAACTTTTTTTAAATTTTTTTATTTAGTTACCAATTTAAATTTTTTGAACCCAAGCTTTAGTTTTATCAGATTTGTTTTATATGTTTTAGTTTTAATTATTAGTCACTGCATTATTTTTACAAATCAAATTTTATTAAATTTTTATTTATCTAATTAAAATTATTCTAAAGTTAAATGATTTTATATCTTTTTATAAATTCAAACATAATTGTATTATTTTTTTTTAGTTTTGATTGCTTTATTAGTTTGCATACTGTTGAAACATGGTTTTAATTTAGTAAATTAATTTGTAAATTAATTAGTAAACTAAATAGTAAATTAATATGATTTAAAATTTTCTGTATTAATCATAGTCAATATTTATGAGAAAACTGGTATTCTAAATAGTTAAGGTAAAAATAATTTTGTAACAGTCAATTTTAATGTTTAATTGTGCTCAAGCTATTTTGTGCTACTATATTGTTTTTGTCGTTGTGATTAACAATAATAACTTTAGTTATGCTCATAATAATTTGTTGTATGTCTTTTTTAACAGTGTCTTGAAAATTGTGCTTGCCTCTCTTTAATAAAGATTTATTAAGAAAAGGGAATTATTGGAACACTCTATTATAACTAAGCTCTTATGTATCTCTTGGTATCATAATTAATTATGACCATGTATAAGAAATGTTTTACAAGTCACTTTTTCAAGAAATGTAATGTAATTAAGTAATGTAAAAGTAATAAGTAATGTAATAAGAAATGTAAAAACAAAGTAATAAGAAATGTAAAAACAAAGCACTTTTACAAGTCACTAATTCACAATTTATGAATCCCTGTTGTTCTTACAGATTTTTTAAATAGAATTTATTTAAATTTTGAAAATATCAATAACTAATAATTGCCAAAATATTGGTCACATTATTTGATTATAACTTAATCCACTCAATATCCACACATAATCCACACAATAGTTACCATTGTGTGGAGCTAAGGTGTTAAACTAGTTAAATATGACTGTGTGTGTAGTGCTAGGTTGTTATATTAGCCGACTTTTTTCTTTTTTTTTTCAGGTGTTGCCTGGCTTTATTTGGCTTTCCTTCTCTGGTGCCTGCAGTAATAACTGATTTTAAAAAGAAACTAATAACTTTAGTTATGTGGTCTTTTTATGTTGTTAACTAAAAGCCAAGACATAAATAAAAGAGAGTAGAACAAAATAGATTATATACAGATAAACTTATATTTTATTAAATTTTTCAGATATTATATCAAGTTAAATTAATTTTTATTTACTAATAACCTGTGTTGCAGGTTGCTTACTGGTGAAATTTTTTTTTTCTATTTTTTTTATTTTATAGAATTTCTTTCTATTTTTTTTATTTTATAGAATTTTATAGAATCATAATAATAAAAGGTTTTATAGAATCATAATAATAAAAGGTTCATTTGATACTTTTCTTCAATGTGAATTTAATTTGCAGGCTTATTTGGGAAGCGGGAGCAATCGCTCTCAATTACTAACTACGGAAATTATATTTAGTTGCGAAAAACTGGCCAGGTTTTTTAGTTGTTTTGAGAACATTTAAGTTTATGTACGAAACAAAAAATTTTTGTTTTACAGACATACATGGAAACATAAAAAACTTGAATGTTCTCAAAACATCTTGGTGCGAAAGAATAAAAAGAATATTTGCAAACACTAAAAACCCGCCAAATTAACAAACAAACTAATTCTATTGGTTCAAAAAATACGCTGACTAAGCGAAATAAAGTTCTAGAGTATTCTGTTGAAATGTTTTAGAAACTGTATTATTCACGATTTCTTACATTTTGAGATTTCTAGCATAAATTGTTTTAAGAATATATATTATTTGTTTACAAAAATAAATGTTTTAAATATATATTAATTAAATTGTCAAAATTTTAAAAGTTTATTATAAATTATAGATTTTATTAGCATATTCTTATTTTTTATTTAAAAAGTATGTATTCTTTATATAAATGTAATTTTGTGTATCTGTTTTTTATCGTAATGTATCTTTTAAAGCAATTTTTATGATTTAAACAAAGAATTACAAAAATAATTGCATTTTCAATGAAGTTATAATCATTAAAGTTATTAAAACTAATTATGTAACAAATATATAAGAAGTTTCTGGTTACTATATACAAACAACGCATACTAAGTAACTCGCGGATGAACACAAATATATATAGCAAATAATTAGATATAAAGAAAAATTTTTAGATATTGGTTCACTAACTCTAATTAATTTGCTTAAGTTGCCATTCTTAAAACTCGTTATACTTTTTTCTGCTTTAAATATTAATCAAAATTAAAAAGCCCACTCACTAAACATCATCAGCGATATTGTGAAGCAGTTTTGCTACCTCGTCATAAAGTATTTTTAACCTTTTTAGTTGATTTCTATCTTGTTAATTTAATTTCTATAGTGATTCAATGATTTAATTATTTCATTTGTTTATACTACTAAAAAGAATTGCTTCAAATATGTTAACCTTTTCAAACTACGCAAAACATAAAATAGGTATTAAAAAAATTAACTTTTTTATTTATAAAATAATTTAGCTTAAATAAAACTAAAACTTGCAAACTTTGTTAAATAAAGAATATTTGTTTCCTTTTTAAACAATAGTAAGATGTTACTTTATATAAAAAACATTGCTTAATTTTATAAAAAAAATTATAAAAGAGCGATATTTCAAAAATATTGGTTCTAAACGTAATTTATTTAGCTTTAAGTTTTTTCGCGTTTAAAGATATTTTATTTGCCTAATTTTTTTTTTTTTTTTTGTAATTGTCTCTCATCAGTCCAATTAATTTTTTGCTCTTCTTTTTTGCTTTTTAAAATGTTCTCAAATCGACTAAAAAATTTGGCCAGCTTTTTGCAACTAAATATTACTTAATTGGTCAGCAATCAAGAGCGATCGCTCCCGCTTCCCGACTAAGCCTGAATTTGAGAAATTTTTAAGTCATATTTTACATACCAAGTTAAAAACGCAACTATAAAAAAATATTGCATTAAAAAGTTCTTTCATTTTTAGAATAAATAATTTGCATATTTTATATTTTATTTAAAAAAATTTTCAATTGGAAATATAAAACTAAAAATTTAAATAGTTTTTTAAAAACTAATAAAGTTCTATAGTTCTTTGTTGTTTGTTTTTTTTTTACAGTTTTTCAATGTGGTTTTTAAAGAAATTCTTATTAGTTAGTTGAACTTGTCGAGTTTATTTAAAATTAATATCAAAACATTTAATAAATCTTTAATAACAAACTTTTTTACCTTAAAGATGCTCACAAAAACGTAATAATGAATAAACATTGTTTTTCTTTTTTTTTACTATTATTGCATAATTATGTAATAATAATTATTAGCAATTACTTTTTAAAATTTTATCCTAAAAAAAACATTTTTTACTAGTCTTGTTTATGTAAAATACAAATCAACCTAAAAAACTTCACAAAAATTTAACAAAAAAATAATAAATTTGGCTATTTAAAAAAAAAAAAAAAAAAATTTGCACAGCCTATCAGTATTAGTATAGCAAGACAAAAACAGTTTTGTCACTTGAACTTAAAATATTTAAAAATAGAATAAAAATTACTATTAAAAAACCTTCTCTGATTAATTCACATGATATTTGAGAGTTTGCCTGTGATACATGTATTGATTCTTTCTTTGCTTGTAATATCATATCAAGCTTATTCAATGCACAACGAGCATCACCATTAGCATACTGTGCAACCAAGTTCAATGCACCTTCTTCAAATCTGCATCTAAAGAAAATAAAGAAAAATTGGTAAAACTGCTTGAATTCCCTAAATTTTTTAAATAAGTTTAAATAAGTTCATTTTAACTAAGTTTAACTTTGTACTAAGAAGTAAACGACCGAGTTGATAGTTGACTGAGGCTGGGTTTGATAAAATATAGCCGGGGCCAGGTTTGTGACCGGGACTGCATAAACATTTATACATCCTAAAGTATATTATAAAATTTATTATTATTATTATAAATAGCAAACATATATGTTTATATCAATAATATGTATGTATAAAACGCATCTCAGAAGCTTTTATTCCTTATGGACTAAAAGTTTGGAAGCTTTTATTCCTACTCTTCAATTTTAAGTCGAACCTCATTCTACTCCATATTTTTCACCATCTTGAGCAGTTGCTTTATTAAACATTAATCATTTTTTTTATCTTTTTTACAAGAACATCTTTCTTAAGAACAAATGTCCTTTTATTATTACATTTTATAAGTCTTGCCTTATGTTAAGTTCTGTTATTCTCAGTTTACTAAATCTTGTATCTTATATTAGATGTTAGGTTCTAGAGACTTTTCGTCTCTAGAACCTAACATCTAATATAAGATACAAGATTAGTCTTCAACAATGTCATTAACTAAGTAAGACTAACATTTAATCTTATTGATTATATAATATTTAATTTTTTAAAAGTGCTAAATAAGTGGTTCCAATTTTTCAAAACTCTAGAAAACACTTTGACCTATCCGACTATCCTACGATTAGTCTTCACACTGTTATTAGTTTCTTTATATAAAGCTTTTAAGATTATTAAATTATTTCTTACTAACTGCAGTAATAAAGTTATTCTTGAAGGCCTTCTTGAATTGATATTGTAGAAATGATACAGGAGCAAAGAGTGCAAAGGAGCACAAGGTATCTTGTGGTACCCTAAATATTTACTCCTGTATCATTTCTTATCTACAATATCAATCTTCATGAAAAATTAACATCTAAAATCAAAGCTCAAACAAGCTATCATCTCTATTACGATATACCAAAACTCATTCTTGCTTGTTTCTTTTTCAACAAGCTGCATCCTTTTACTGTATCTATCCCTTCATGCTGTAAAAACTTTTATTAATCTATTTTTTTTTCCTTGCACATAAAAAAACCTTATAACTATTAGCCATCTTCATAGGTTTCTTTTATATACAACCTTCAACTTTTTAGGTCTTCAGTTGACCATTTCCTAGTATTTTTACTTATTCTCTATTTTAAAGTAACTCATAACTTAATAGTGGTTGCTTGCTATCTTGTTGGAAGTAAATTAGAGTTTGTAATAGTATATAATAAATAGTAAATGTAAGAATAAAATTATAATATATAAAGTATTATAAATTTTTTTTTAGTGCAGGCTATCAACCCCTGCTAAATCTTATAGTTTAGCCAGGGCCGAGTATGAAAAAAGTCTCATTTTTAGCTTACTAGTACTAATGTCTAACTGTAATAACAATTTAAGAATATATATATATATATATATATATATATATATATATATATATATATACAGAGTTGTTAACAAGGCCAAAAGTATCAAGACCAAGGACAAGGCCAAGGTCACGAGTTACAAGGCCTAGGCTAAGACCAAGGCTAAAAGTTACAAGGTTATGACGAGGCCAAGGCTAAGAGTTTAAGGTCAAGGCCAAGATTAGGAGTTTCAAGGCCAAGACCTACGCAAACATTTTCAAAGCAAAGACTTCAACTTTTGCCTTACATTAAAGTCAATTATTAACAACTGTAAGTAGCAAGTGTTGTGACAATAAAACCACATTTTGTAAAAATAGACTAAGGTTATGGGCAGAATTTAACAAAATTAATAAGAAAATATGTATTTTTTTTTAGGCCAAGGCCAAAACTTTCAAGGCAAAGACCAAGGCCAACAGTTTCAAGGCTGAGACCAAGGCCAAGGCCTAATATTTGGCCTTAAGGCAAGGTCAAGGCCAAGGACTAACAACTCTGCATATATACATACAATATATGTGTGAGGCTTTCACAGGAAGGCAAATGTTTTTATATTAGCGAAACGCTTTAAAATAAAGTAACAATTTACTGATAATGGTTTTTTTTTGAATATAATTGACAGTTGTATATATTTTTTTAATTTATAATATATAAATTCTTTAAGTTTGCATTTCTATAATAAACATTAAAAAAATTAAAAATTGTTTTGTTTTTATAAACGATGACATTTTACGACTACGAAAGTCTCATTAACGAATTTTAATATAAGAATAATTAAAGTTAATACATTTAAAAAGATAAACAAATTTTCATTAAAAGAAAAAAAGTTTTACAAAGCCGTTATGATTAAATAAGTTTAATCTTAAATGTTTTTGTTTTATCGAAACGCTTTGCAATGAAGTAACAAAACACTTCTAATTAATTTTTAAAATAAGTATTAACAAACTGTTTTTTTATTTTATTTATATAATTATGTATTTCTTTATGAGAAATATTTTTATTTTGAAACATTAAATAAAAAATAAAAAAGTACAAATATTAAAACAAAGATTGAAATGGTTTTTTAATGCGTAAATTAAATAGACTAAGCATTTTAGTTTGATGAGTTTTGTTTTAGTTGGGTTATATATATTTATTTTTTTGTGTTTTTGCTTTAACTAAAAATTTTTTTTTATTTTCTCTTTTGTTAAAATTTTTTTCTTTTTACAGTTTTTTTTTTTTTAGATAAGTTTAGGTAAGTTTTTGTAGCGAATTTTTAAATTGTATGTGTATATATATATATATATATATATATATATATATATATATATATATATATATATATATATATGTGTGTATATATATATTTATATATATACATATATATATATATATATATATATATATATATATATATATATATATATATATATATATATATATATATATATATATATATATATATATATATGCGTTATATTATATGTATATATATATATACATATAATATAATGCATTTATGTAATATAGAAGCTCAGGTGAGTAGTTCATCAGTCCTCCCTAATAGTTTATTGAAATAAAATAATAAAATTATACTTTGCCACTTCTTGGTCTGTTTCATTCAATAATTCAATAGCATTTTGCAAAATTTTCAATATTACTTCTGTCTCTAGACTATTAAAGACAACAACATGACATCTACTAATAAGAGCATTGTTTATATAAAAAGATGGATTTTCTGTAGTCGCTCCAATAAGAACAATAGTTCCATCCTCAACATATGGTAAGAATGTATCCTTAAAAAATCGAATAACTTAAAAATATTTGTTTAATCTGAAAAATTAGTTAGGATTAATAATGAAATAAAACAAACACCTGCTGCATTTTGTTAAATCTATGTATTTCATCAATAAAAAGAACAGTCTTTCTACTGGTTAATTTCTTCTCATTTTTGGCAACTTTAATTTCATCTTTCACATCGTTAATTCCAGCCATTGTTGCTGATAGTGTTACAAACCGATATTTTGAGTCTGACTCTTTGCATCTTCTTGAAATAATATGAGCAAAGCTAGTCTAAATTATAAATTTTTAAAAATTGCTAAAAATTATTATTTTCAAAAAATTATTTTATTAAGACTTACATATGGTTTGATATATTTTTTTAATAAATACTTTACACCACACACATCTCTATACACCATATGATACACCTTTATATTTAATAACTGCAATAAAAAAAATTTATTTTCCTATTGTGATTTTACTGTAAATTTTTTAATTGGTTCATTTATCTATTTATTTTATTATGAAGTAATTTTTAATTTGATTGAATTTAATTATGATCAGCATTTTTTTTAAAATAAATTCTTTTTGTGATAATAATAATTGTTTTAATCAGGTTCATATTGTTATATTTTGATTTTCAGCAATATCCTGCAACATGGATTCTTAGTTATTCACTTAGTTTTTGAAAAAAATTGAGACACAAACAACTACTGACATTTTTCTTGTGGGGTTCATTTCTCCAAATTTTTACTAGATGAAGCTTCCAACATGTTGTCAAGTTCTCTCAGTATTTTTTCATCATCACAAAATAGAAAAAAAAAACATTTAAGTAAGTGCAAGGTGTGCCATTTGAGAAGTATTTCATTTTTGGAATATGGAAAGAATTCCAACAATTATTGAACGTAATGCAACTGAAAATATTTTTTACAAATGGGTTAAAATACTGAAAAACATGAAACAAGCTTTGACAACACTAACAGCAAATTAAAATTTTTTGTGTGAAGAAACTTTTTGATATAGCACATGCTGATGCCATGAGTGTTATTACCATTGAAGAAAACAAATAAATCAGTGAGTTGAACGTAAAGGATACATGGTTGGAGTTGACATGGCATTGGCAAAAACAGAAGAACAATTCCAGAAAAGAAAAGAATTAGAAGACCTTGTCTGGAAGAAAGACAAAAAAAAAAAGAAGCTGAAAATACAAGTCATATTGATTTAATACACCTATCTGAAAAGCCTACATCTGGCACTGAAACCTCTGATGAGGAATTTATAAAACCAAGGAAATCTAGTCAAAATGTTGTAAAGAGGCAAATCTCAAAGTATCATTTTACCTGAGTTAGCATCTGTTCTTGACTGAACCAACTTCTTGTATCGCCAAGCAACTTATTTATTGGCAGCTACAGCAAAGTGTTTAGGTTATGACATTTCACATTTTGCTATCAGTCGCAATACAATCCAGAGAGCTAGAATTACTAATCGAAAAAAAACTGCTACAACTATCAAGTTGACACTCAACTAGTCAAATATTTCATTGATTGTTCATTTAGATGGCAAAATATTTATTTAATGGATCAACCAAATCTCTTCCAGATATAACTGGAAGAGATTCATTAGAAGTTGTTATTATAAGTTATAAAGTTGACAAGCTTCTTGGCATTCCAAAGTTAACAAGTGGAACTGGTAAAGCGTCAACTTGGGATATTCAAGAGTTAAAGCAATGAGTTTTGATGCTTGGATTTTGATGCTGCTAACACTGGTATCAAAGCTGGTAGCTGGTATCAAAACTGGAGCGTGTACTTTAGTTAAAAAAAAGCTTGATAGAGAACTATTACACTTGACATGCCGTCATCATATGAACAAAGTCATCTTGAATGACGTTTTTAAACATTCTCTTGGGCAATCCAGTGGCCCTAAAATAAGATTATTCAAATATTTTCATGACAAGTGGTCATTAATTGACAAAGAAGATTATGAAACATGGCTAAGTGATCAAATGTGTTCTGATATTTTATCTTTTTTATCAAATGTGTTCTGGTATATTATCTTCTCACATCATACTCAAACAAGATGCACTATTTTATTTGAAAATAATTCTCAAATCTACTAGACAATATTGAGATGACTACAAGGAATCGTTGGAAGTAATGATGTTGTTTCTTGGTGATATTCCTTCTCATGGGGCTCATGTGATGGCTCCCAGAGCCATACACAAGGCTAGGTGGATTGCCAGAATTTTATATTTAATAAAAATAAGATGTTCAAGAGACAGTTCAAACTAATGGCAAAAGTGGAAAAAATCACTTTGAGATATAAGCTTGTTTGCTAGTTTGATGTACACCAAGTTTTGAATAACATGTCCCAATCCAACACTGGGTCTGTTGAATGATCTCACCTTCCTAAAGACTATTTTGCAACACAAAGCCATTAACAATGTAATTTTTACAGTTAAAGCAACAGCATTTTCGAGGCATTTATGGTATCTAAGTGAAGAAATGGTAGCATTGGGGTTTTTTGATAATGAGATCAGCAAAAAAACAAAAGCAAAAATGGTTTTGGCTCTGCAAAATGCTGGAGAGGATGAACCACAAAAACAAATCGATTTAACTTCAATTGAAAATCTGCAACAAGAAAGTTTTGTAACAGAGAATACTTTAAATTTTTTCAACATTTTGGAATTACAAACTACTTTTTTGACAACTGTTGATCCAGACAAGTTGACCGAAAAATGAAACATTTCAACAGGCTGTAAAATTGTAAAAAATTTACGTGTTGTTAATTATACAGCAGAAAGTAAAACTATTTCAGGATTTTAACTGTTCAATTACCAAAAATGAAGAACAAAAGCAATTCTGAACACAGGTCAAAGTTTTCTCTGCAACAGAAATCTTTGCTAATCGATGGAACCATGTCATCAAAAAACGATGGAAACAAAAATCAATAAACTTTTTTTTTTCATGTTATACAATAAATCATGGACCGTGGGTTCATTATTTTTTACTATTATTTTAGTAATGCAGCAAGTATTCTTGTGCTCAAGAAACTTGGCAAAGTAGCTAAACTATAAATGAGACCTGAAACTCTAATTATTAAATTTTCTTTGAACTATTATTAAGACTTATTTATACTTTTCTTTATTATAGTGAATGCAAATAGACTATTATAGACCAGAAGTTTATTACTTTTTTCTTTAATTATTTAATTTTTAAACAATAATATAAGTAATTTAGTTTTAAAAATAGTGGTTTTTGATTAGTATACAGTAAAAGTTAACATGCAATGTTGTATTTTAATTTATTTATGATTTGGGATTGCACACTAAAAGAGATTTCAAACCAAAATAACCTAAAAAGTAAAAAAGTTAATGAAGGACCTTTAAAAATTATGCAATTATACCCTACACATGATACAAAACAAAATGGTAACATCAAACAAATGAAAAAAAAATTATGAATATGAATATAATTAGATCTTATTGTTTTTATTATCATTTATGATTTGTTATGCTAAATATATATTATTACTAGATCTTTATGTCTTATTGTTTATTCTATTTTAACTACTTACAATTTATTATGATAATAAATGTGCTAAAAAAATTTAAATTATTTTAATTTAAAAATATTCAAAAGACGTGAATTACTTACGTCACTCTATTTAAATTAAAATGGAGATAACAGACAATGAATGAAAAGTTTTGAGGTCATTACTGTTAATTTAGCCTCGAATTAAATTATTAATCATTACATTAAGCTATCCTGCTGGATGTGGTTACGGAACTTGAAACTTAATGCAAGCCTTGCAAATTTCTAGAACAATGTTTACTATATTTATATAATACCGGTATAATACCGAAAAACAAAGTTAACATTTTTTTTCAACTTTTATTAATGGGAGGTCAATCAGGTAATAGATGACCAAAAAAAATTACCAATGGCACTACATACTAGTAGAAATACATAGCAAAGTACATGAAATCATAAAACTACTTAAAAAGATTAAAAGTAAAAGAACAACCTAGATGTTAAACTTAGAATAAATAAATGTTAAATTTAGATTAAATAATTTTTAAAAAGCAGTTGAAGAATTTATGGTACATACTAATGTCAGAAAGTTCTATTGATTCTTTAATAATGAAAATACCTGACATTATTTATAAATTTATTAAAAACAAAATTAAACTTGACAACTACAAAAAAAAAAATAATCAGGAAATACTAAAAACTTCAACCATTATTTAGTTGAGTTAACAGTGTAATAGCACAAAACAGTAATAAAAGAAAAGAATTTTACATAAAAATTCTTCAAAATAAGACCACGGAAATAATATTTAGTTGCAAAAAGCTGGCCAGATTTTTTAGTCGTTTTGAGAACATTTCAAAAAATGCGCTAAAGATTAATTGGACCGATGAGAGACAATTACAAAAAAAAAAAAAAAATTAGGAAAATAAAATATCTTTAAACGCAAAAAAATTTAAAACAAAATAAATTTTCGTTTGTTTAAAAATGTTCTTTATTTATCAAAGTTTGCAAGTTTTAGTTTTATCTAAGCTAAATTATTTTATAATTTAAAAAGTTAATTTGTTTAATACCTATTTTATGCTTCGCGTAGTTTGAAAAGTTTAACATATATGAAACAATTCTTTTTAGTAAGATAAACTAATGAAATAATTAAATCATTGAATTACTATAGAATTAAATTTACTATATAGAAATCAACTAAAAAAGTTAAAAATACTTTTATGACGAGGAAGCGAAACTGGTTCATAATACCGCTGGATAATGTTTAGTGAGTGGGCTTTTTAATTTTAAATAGTATTTAAAGCAAAAAAAACTATAACGAGTTTTTAAGAAAAGCAACTAAAGCGAAAATAATTAGATTTAGTGAACCAATATCTAGAAACTTTTTTTTATATCTAATAACTTGCTATATATACTTATGTTCCGTTGTGACCTCAGGCACGACGCTTGTTCATCCACGAGTTACTTAGTATGCATAGTTTGTGTTTAGTAACCAGAAACTTCTTATATGTTTGCTACATAATTAGTTTTATTAACTTTAATGATTATTAATAACTTCATTGAAAATGCAATTATTTTTGTAAGTCTTTGCTTACAAATTAAATCGATAAAAAACAGATCACAAAATTACATTTAAATAAAAAATACATACTCTTTAAATAAGTATATACTAATAAAATCTACAATTTATAATAAACTTTCAAAATTTTGACAATATAAATAATATTAATTTAAAAAATTTATTTATGTAAACAAATAATAAT